CGAACGAGATTTGCCGAAACTTCGCGTTATCCGCGGAATGCTGCTCCCTGTTTCTAAATAGCATTGAAATTCCTCTCTGTTTCGCAATCACCGAGCGAGCAAAGACGAGGCTATGACAGTGGCGCGCTCGGTTCGGTATCGAGGAGACGTATCGGCGATTGGTTCGAAGGCACCTCACGGCCCCTTGGCGGCGTCGTGCGAGGGAGGGCAGGCCGATAGCGGATCGCATCGCCGACGCGGCCGACTGGAAAGCCCGCAGTGAAAGGCCACACACCAGATCGGGTCCCCCCTGATTACACAAGGCGGTGACTGCCAGCGATAGGTTCCGACCGAATTCTCAAGCGATCTGAGATAAGAGAACCAACAACAACAGAACATGTTTATTAAGAAAGACAGATGGATCGTTGGAGACAGCTTGCATTAGCCAGCTACTGAAAAACGATAAAAAACAACAGGGTAGAGAATGAATTGAACGTTCGCAATCGCACAGCCAGCCAGGGTACGTTAAAGATGTATTCACAGGACGGTCCAATCTCAGGAGCCACGTCCGCGGACCAGAGAGATGTGCGCATCACGTGACCGTGACGTCATTACGAACCGGTCCGCAGGCCCGCGGCTGTCCGCGATAAGTCCGCGTACCCTGCGCTGAATTCCAGGGCTACCGTGAACCGGAGTGATGACTGCGGGTCCCCGAGCTCGTAGATTAGGTTGCTGCTTTCGCGACACGTGCTACCAAACAAGATCAGCACCTCTCAAGGTTGTGACCTTGCGCTCGTAGATTTCGCTGCACTCCAAGCTGAGAAAGAACCATCGTCCCTACCGAAAATCCCAGTGTAACTTTCCGCTATCCGGATTATGGAACCGGAAATCTATCTGGATTCTATCCAGATTCTATCTGGAATTTAGGTTTTCAGAAATTATTCCTTTGTCTGCAATCTGGATTTCGGGTTTCCAGAAACAAATTTCCGGTTCCATAATCCGGATAGTGAAAAGTTAAACCGGATTTTTCGGTAGGGATGGGACGCTCGATTCGAAACCAGTCAGCGTCTGACCAATCAGTCAGTGAACGAAACAAAGATGAAAGCCCCAACGACGAAAGGGCGCTTTTCTTATTTCGTAGGGGGTTACACAAGTAAGCAGAAAGATAAAATAAAGCTTGGGAAGCATGACTTTCTGAGAGGTGAACGCACGCAAACCATCTGGTAAAGGAACACCATAATCTAACACCCCGAGATAGGAAACGTTGGTCGATTCTCGTAGTTTTGACAGAGATTATCTATGCGGATGCTCGCTGTCGGAAGCCTGTCTAGTGTTGTAGGGATTTAGCCCGTCAAGACACGTCTGGTCAAATCTTCGCGACGTCATGTTCTGTTTTCTTGATCTTTTATTGTTTCGGTGTGATCGAATAAACAAAGCTCTTCTTGAGATCTTCAGTTGTGTTGTCCGTTTAATACACGAATACATGCCTTAGAAAGTTGTCAAAAACATAAAAACAGGCATTGCTAACGGGAGCTGCTTACCAGAGCTTGTCTAGTGGCACTTGTCAGAGCAGCATCAAACACCTAAATTGCATCAGGTGAGTCGAGGGAATCGTCGAAAATCTGCTCAGTGGGCTCCACAACCTTCCTATCGTCGCAGAATTGGAAACGTCGCCATCATCTCCGACTGCTGGCGCCACATAATTAATGCTCATGCCGTTGAGCACACGTGGCTGAAAATCCAAATGTAGAAACAAAATTGTTAAATAAATCGGCAACTAAAATAGTGCACGCAGCAAGCAATATTATGCTCAACGGTAGAAGTTAAAATCATAGCAGAAGGAGAGGATTGTTTTCAAAGTAGACACTAACAGCAGGAAAAAAGGGGGAAAAGAGGACATGACACCTCTCCAAGTGGCAGCGTAAACATTTATTCAGTAGATAGGGGAAGGAAAAGGGGGTAGCTGAGGAAAAGTGAAGCGAAAAATAATTTAAAATAAAGTAACCTAGAAAGACAGGAAACGGAGCATAAAGATTTAGCTCATGACCATTTAGGTTGGTTGCAGCTGTGGTCAGAGATATGCAACTTCGAAGTAAGACCAGCTGAGAGACAAGAATATAATATAATATAATAGTTTATTTTAGACATACATGTGTCTGGGCCCTGGGGGGCTGCAGCAGAAGAAGTCGTTATCATGTGGGTTTGATTTCTTGTTTCCTGGGTAGTTTTAGTGTATAAAACAGAATATAAAACAATGGTCACTTAAATCAACTGAAAATACACCCGAATACGTGTCATCAGTTTGGCAGTTGCTTATACAAAGATAAATTAACGTTTTTGTGTGTGATATTATCTTAATAGGCAAATTAATCAAGTTTTCATAACCGGAAGACTGGATTAGTTCACGAAGTTCAGCATTCAATGGTTTTCAGACATCAGATCTACGTTCAGGTCACCTACTATGACAGTTTTCAAGTTAACGGCTGTAATCTAATAAATGTGTAATACAATTTAAAAAAAAACGCATTGATCCACATGGTGGCCTGTATGTTGCAACCACAACTATTTTACAGCATTTGGCAACTAACGATTTATAATTATAGTTGACACACGTGAACTCTGGAACAATTTCATAAGTTAGACCATAACGAAAATATAGTGACAATCCACCTCCTTTCCGGGTTTCACGATAAATTTCCTCGCAGTTATAATTGTTGACGCTAACAGCATCGCCAACCCCAGTAAACCACGTTTCCGTAAATGCCAAAATATCAAAGTTATTGTTCAGCATACTCATGAACAGTTCAATTTCGCCATTTTTATTTCTAATGCTTTTTGAATTTAAGCGAAATAAGGACAATTTTCGCTTGTTTTCTTGTGCGTCATTTTTTCATAAATTTATTAAATGTTTCACAGTTGTAAGAACAGCATTCAGTGGATGACTTTTCCATTAGTTAGAAAGTAAAAAAAAAAAAAAGCTAAAAGTGAAAGAGAAAAAAAAAGTTTTCAATCTTTAACGTATCTTTGTCAGTTCGTCTTTGCTGTTGATCCTGATAGCACTAGCACCAGTCTTTCTTACATATATCCGTCCGTTCTTCTGTCATGTTTACTGATAGCTCTTTCTTTTGGCCTCCATTTTCGCCAGCCATAGTAGCCTTTTGTTCTGTGCCGTCAGATTTTCATAGAATGGCGGCCTGTTTCCCCGAACCTGTCCTCTTTTCTGATGCCAACGGTCTCTTGTTGCTCGCGTAGAAAAACGGATCAACACAGCTGGTGTTTTTTCGGGCTTTGTTGGCAACTTGTGTAGTCCTTCCAGTTGTTGTTCAGTTAGTGGCGGTAGGTCGCGCTCTAAGGCTAGATCGTTCAGCTTCTGCAGTAAATTATCATTCACCGAATATGGTAGGCCATGAATGTCAAGGTTTTGCTGCCCATTCTCTGGTTATGTCACTTACATTTTTCATGCTCTTGCTTGTTAGGTATTTCAAACCAATTATCTGGTTATGTTGGTTGCACTGTTCATGCTCTTTAGAAGACCATGAGTTTCAGTGCCCACTGGTCATAATGAATAGTGAATGTATGGTACGGTGCCTGGAATACGTCTTTGACAGATATGTCTGGCATTCTGTACTGCTCTTATGCATCGAAAATGGTCCCGACGTGATTACAAAGTATGTCACAGGAGCTGGCATGTCGTGCTGTCGAACGTCGCAAGCGTCGCTTTCGCCACAGCGTCCCAACTCCTGGCCGCTAATGTTTCCGTGGACTGTTAATCTGAAAGTTCCCTATACCAGAAAAGGGGTCTGCTTTCTCCAGCTCCACTGCCGTGCAACCGCTTCGGGCCTGTCGTAGTCGGCACCAGGGTGTAAGATAGACAGGTGGGGAAACGGCCCATACAAACCTACCGCAGCGCCGTGACCGGATTGTGTACTCGTCTGCTTGCGGGTGGCTTGCGGGTACCCCCGATTTGCGGCAGATGGCGCTGCGGCGAGAAAAAAAATTGGAATCGAATTTGCATGAAACTTAATGGGAGAGTGCGCAAAATAAACCGAGAGCACGACAGTCCTTCATTAAAAATCCACGAGAAACTATCTCCGTCAGTTTAGCCGCTCGCCATCGGTCGCCCACCTGGAGTGAGAGTTCGCGGTGCTCCACATAGATGGCGCCACAGAAAAAGAGAAAACCGAGGGGACACAATCCGGTCACTCATTTGGCTCTCGTTTCACCACCTGTCTATCTTACACCCTGGTCGGCACTGCGTTCATTCATGACAAGAATAGGCAAAATGCCCAACCGCTGCGCGGACTATGGCTTATACTGTTTGCGTTTCTATCTTCCTGATTTGTTTTTCGGTGTTCCTATGAACTAATATGCCGCTATCTTATTCGTTGAGGAACGATAATAAGATGTTTTGAAAGAACCACGCATTGAGCTCCTTAAAAAAAACCTAAAAAAGTTTTTTTTTTTTAGCAGTCTGGGTGGGACACGCGTGACAAAAAAAATTAAATTTACGCAACAAAAATATATTTTTTTTAGAGCAATATTGACGGCGCGGGACGCAATTTAGTCGGCAATCATCTCCTTTCCAGTTGATTTCTCTCTCGGCATTTTGGGCGCGTGGAGGAGAGGTGGATCGGCTTCGCTTTCACGATCGAGATGGTCATTCCGGAATGACCCGTGACGTCACGGACTTCGCGCGCAGAATTTAAAATAAATGTCTCGCCGTCAATATTCCTAAAAAAAAAAAAAAAAGAAGTTTTTTTTTGCGTAAAATTTTATTTGACACGCGTGTCCCAATTAGACTGTTTAAACAAATCTTTTTTTTTTTTTCAAAGGACCTTGAAGCAGTCCGTGGCTATAATTAAGCAAAACAGCTTTTTTTTTTCCCCCAACGTTGATTTACAAAATTTGAATAGGCCGGCCGTAGTCGTGACTTTAATCGGCTACAGCTTTTTTCTCCCCCAACGTTGATTTACCAAAATTTGAATAGGCCGGCCGTAGTCGTGACGTTAATCGGCTACAGTTTAAGAGGTGATACACGCGCTGTGTGGTACCGCCCTCGAGCACATGGCACTACAGAGCTGAACTCGGCGGCAGAACGAGTCGCAGGAGTCGTTGAAGGCCGTGGTCAGCCAGATGTACGTGTCCAAGAGTTCGGAAGAACTGTTTAACCGCTGGGACAGGTCCACCATGGAAGCCGTGGTCACGTCGGGGACACCGTACTGCGTCGTCAGTGTGTAGAGGGGCTCCCACTTGGGCGTCTCATTGGGGTGCATATTGGCCTTGTCGTAGTCAAGGTAGTAGACTGTATAATCGAGAAGTCTGGTCGAGGAACGGTCGTACTTGTAGAGCCGCACCATCGGGTTTGTGGGCACCGCCAGGCTGAGCTTCAAGTCGTCTGATGTGGTCCACGGAGTGACCGAGGCGGCCACCTGGGCGCTTCTCACAGGTCGCCCGTAAGCGTCCGACAGTACCACGAAAGAGTTAGCGTGCTGGTGGCCGAAGAACTGTCCCGAAACAACATCCATGAAGTTCGCTATCAGATCCTGGTAGGCCTCGTTGATCTCGTCCCGGAGCAAGCCCGAAGTGCCTAACTCCGGCGACAACACGTGGGTGTAGAAGCCAGGTGCCACGTGCCCCGAGATGAAGACCTTTTGTCCTAACTGATGAGCCTCTTGCAACTGCTCGCGCAGCCAGACCAGCTGGTCATCTACGCTTCCTTTGGGAGCCGGTGCTTTGTTTCCAGCATACCATAGCATGCTGTTGAGGCAAACCAGTCGTAGGGATCTGCTGACTGTCCAGTTGTAGTATCCAGCCTTCTCGAATATGCTCCAAGAGGACGAGGGCAAAAGCTCATTGAAGCCAGCTTCGGAGAGGAACAAGGACTTGTTGTCGGGACGCATGTAATTGGGCGGCGAGCAATCGTGATTACCAAGGGTGGGCACCACGGGATAGCCAGAGAATGCTTCGCTCAGCAGCTGCCCGAGCCACCGGGTCTGCGCGTACACGTCAGACCAGGATACCTGTTCCACGTGCGGCAGGTTGTCCCCCGTCCAAAGCACGAAGTCCGGGCTCGGCTCGTTGCTCTGCATGGCGGCTACTACCGATTCCACGAGAAGCTTGGGCGCGTCGCATTTGACGTCGCCGTACGGACCTATGTCCCCCGAGCCGGACCGATTGGAGAACAGATGGCACATAGCGTCCCGAACACCATGGGTCGTGTAGTCCTTGTCGTAGTGAAAGTCGGTCACGTGCCAAAAGAAGCCGGTTTCATCTTCAGAGTGGACTAGTGACGTCAGGAGAAGCAGCATTGTTCCTGCCAGAACGGAGAACCCGACAATCCTTGCAGTCATTTCGTCTGGTACGCCACTGTGAGCCTATATTAATTCGACTCTCAACAGCGTTTTTAGGTCGACTCCTTTGGTTCACGTGGTTCAAAACGCGCAACATGAACCTCGAGCAGCTTGATAACTTTCAAACGATCCTGTACCGAGTTAGATCGGCGCAGCGGCTCAAGGCCTTGAACGGCGCCATTTGGTGACACAGGCCAGTGAAAGTCAACAAACGCGGCTGCGCGAAATCATGAAGTTTAAACAGTTCGACGTTGAGGACAACGAATGCTTTCACCTGTTACTTCTATATTTTTAATAGTGCCGATGGAGGTTTTTTTTTATTATTTTTTCATACACACTACGGTGCAGTGGTAATTAAACTGCCATGTTAAAAGTATGAAAAATGTGCAGAGGAGTGGAAAGATTCCCGCTCACTGCAGCTACGTTGTAGTGCTACTAATTTAGAAAGGAATAGATGATGATGATGGTGATGATGATGATGATGATGATGATGCTTGTGGCTATCCCCTCTGAAACGGGTGGTCACGTATGTCGTGTCCAAGCCCCCCCCCCATAGGTGGCTTCACTTTCCACTCTTTTATCTACTTTTCCACAAATTTCCTATTCGTCGCTTGGTGACGTCGACAGTCCATCTATCTGTCCATGGATGGTGGTAGCAATGGTAGCACTGGGGCCGCTGCCGCTGGTGGACCGATTGCCGCTTGAGCGACTGCCGCAGTCTGTCTGGCCCAGCTTGTGTTGTTTTGGCTATTCCCCTGGTTGTGAACGCGCCGCGCTTCATCCTATTCTGGTGTCAGGCCGGTGCAGTGCAGAACTAGGTGCGTGATGGTTGCGTCTTCCTGACCGCAGGCTCCGCACTGCACTGATTCTATTGCTGGATCGAACCGCTGCCAATATAGTCTTGTGCGCAGCGCTCCAGCTCGGGCCTCAAACAGGAGACGGCTGCCTAGACTGTTATCATAGTAGGCCTCCGGTCCAATTGTGTCCTTGTGAGCACTATAGATTTGGAGTGAGGATTTCTTGTTTGCCTCCTTAACCCAGTGGGTCGTCTCTGCCTCTTTGACCCGTCGCCTCACCTCATTTGCCCACTTACTCGCAGTCGCCTCCATGACTGCATGGCTGTGTGAAGAATCCATATTTTTTGCGGAGCTGGTTGACCCGCTTCGTCCACTGCGTCTGCACGCAGATAACACTGATGCAAAATGCTCAGCGCCATCTAGTGGGGCGCCGAAGAATATGCTCCACCTCACCAGTTGGCTTCGGCGCTGGCAAAGGCCAGGGCGCGAATGCTTAGTTCTGTAGTATACTTCGCTCGGACAAGCACTCACGTAGAAAAAGCACTTTCGAAAACCAGGCGCCCGCCCCCGTGCCTTTGCCGGCACTCAAAGCCGAATTACAAGCCGCAGTGTACGTCCGCCATGTTGGTTGCGGTGAGAAACCAGCGACCGGCGGGGCGTCATGCACGTACACCCGCCGGCAATATGAAGGTGAACACCTTACCTGGTTTCTTGCCTGTTTTACGGCTCCCTAAAGCTATATTAACTCTCAACGTCTTAGATGGTACGTGGCTTGGGGTCTACACTTTGAGTTCTAGCCCTCTTCTGGAACAGAGCTTGTTCTGAAACTTGCAGGAGCGTCAAAAACAAGAGGGCTGTTCACCTTCATATCACTCACGGGTGTACATACGCAAGAAAAGCGAAAAACAATACTAACCCTTAGCTCGCAGGTGTGCATCGATGACGGTTAGCAGCAGGCCTCGATTGTTACCGACACAGCTACGAAATGGACAAACAACAGAGGAATCTCGATGCAACAAAGATGGCAGCGAACAGAGTGTTGCCAGACGTTCGAACACTTTTTATATGGTTTACTAACAAGCAAATGTTCATTCCAGGCAATTTCAATCGAACGTTTTTACAAAGAGGCGCTCGATCTCACCAATGGATATCCGGCGCACATCGAATGAATAACATTTTGAGCTCGAATAACTGAGACACTGAACTTTCAAACGACGTCCCTTGGACCTCAGATGGATGTTCGGTAACCTCTTTGCTGGACCATGTGACGTCGGCATTATAGATTTTGGGTATTTTACTGTTATCCAAGATCCGCCCTCCCTGTATATGCCGTAAAATGACCGAGAGCCGTCTATACTGAATCACAGCCATTTTGCATCCAGTGCTTTTGTCAGTAAGTCACACATTCGAATTATCTCGAACATTGATTTCCCCCATCGTATTTGAAGCACGGCAAAGAAACTACTCAAAACGTGTATTGTGTTGAGAGCCCTGGATTTTTGCGCACGCCATGCGCACGCCAGCAGAACGATGCCGGCGATGCTCATGAAGGCCACCTCCACACCAATAAGAATGCCCTGAGGTCTACTCATGCGATAGGTCGTAGCCGGGGAGTGCAGGGCCTCCCCTTTCCCTTGGGTGTGGTCAGAAGCTATACACACGCTCAGCGAAGCTCCTCCCTCGACTACAGGACGCTGCACAGCTGAAGTGGGCGGCACAGTGAGCACAGGAGTTCTTGAAAGCTGAGGCCAGCCAGACATGGGCGTCCAGGAGTTTACAATAACTGTTCATCCTCAGGCCACGTCCACCATGAAGCCGTGTTTACATTGGGGGCGCCGTAATTCGTCGTTTGTGCGTGGAGAGGCTCCTACTTGGGCGTCTCTTTTGGGCCTCGCATTGGCGCGTTTGAAGTCCAGGCAGTGGACAGTGTAATCGAGCAGTCTTGTCGAAGCGTGGTCGTACTTGTACAGCTGTAACATCGGGTTCGTGGGCAAAGACACTCTGTTGAACGACTCTCCGCCAGGACCACGAAGGAGTAAACGCTCTGGTGGACGAAGAACTGTTTCGAAACCAAGTACGTGAAGTTCCCGATCAGGTCCTTGGAGGCCTCGCTGATCTCGTCCCAGAGATAACCCGAGGTGCAGAACTCCGGCGCGGAAAGCTAAATAAGCACGGTACTCATGGGAATAAACCATGATAAAGCAGTTTCTTTAACAAGTGCTGATTGTTAGGCAAGTTGGTATGGTACGTTAGAAAACATGATTGCGCTTTGAAGACAGGGACATAGGAGGAACAGACACCACAGAGCACTAACTTTCAACTGATTTAATTCAAGAGCCTCAGCGTAAAAACACACTGCGTCACCGCACCACATCTCAACCAATCCGTGGCCCCGCCATTGACCGCAAGTACGCTAACTCCTTATCCGCCAAGTCAATTGACGCCACACTGACACAACACGTGCCGGAACTATTTATAGCGTCAGCCTCCATAATCTCTCTAACAGTCTTATCTTTGTGCCTAGCGAGAACAGTATATAGAAGAAGTAAATAATGGTTTGCACCCGCAGTCATGACAGTGACACGACAGATGGCCATCCCGAACCCCGTTCACTTTCTGGTGGTGTTCCCGTAGCCGTACATTTAAACATCTGCCTGTCTGGCCGACATAAGCCTTGCCACGTGAAAGCGGAATTCGGTACACCACTCCTTCCGTGCACGCGACAAACGGACTCCTGTGCTTGATTGGGCAGCCCGTCGGTACCTTGCGGATTGTTCCTCCTATGTCCCTGTTTTCAAAGCGCAATCATGTTTTCTAACGTACCATACCAACTTGCCCAACAATGAGCACTTGTCAATCTAATTTCTAGTTCATCGGGTCCTTTTATATGTTCCTCGTTAGATCCCTGCTTAACCGTCTCACTCATGGCCAACGCGGTCTGCAATGCTCGTATGCTTTCTTTCTGCATTCGTTGCAAATTCTTGCCTGAAGAAGTCAAGCATCTCTTTGGAGGTTTCACCCCGTCAGCCGGACATGGGGTCAGGATTCTGAAGATTCTACGTTCGGAATGGCAACGGCAAGCGCGTATTTACAGGGCCTTGCTGTGCGCGATCCTTCGCGACTCCAGTGGGCTTCAACATAACAACGGAAGGCTGCGGGACTTCTTTGGCATCTTGGACCGCACCACTTAGTAGTTCCTTTGGCAACAGTCGCTACAACGCCTTCGGAGCGGCATGCCCAGGAAACATCCAATCGCGACGTGTAGCATCAAATCTGTGAGTGAGGTGCATCTACCGGACAAGGTCAAGCAGGTCCTCGACCGGGGGCCCAAGTTCGCTGTTGAGCCGAAGATGAGTGCTCCAGAACTCCTGGGTCTAGTACGCCGAGTGTCTAGACACGCCCCGGACGGAGAGGTGGAGAGACGCATTTCAGAGGGAGTGGACGTGCTGGCTCGGAACAAGCCAGACTCGTCAGGCGTGCCCATTAGGAAAGCAGTCTCGTTGCTAAAAGAACGCCGGCTTTCGCTTCTTCCTGCCGTTAAGGAGGGAAGGTTCGTTGTTCAAACAGAAGCAGAATATGGTAGTAAGGCCCTTGAGGCCATTTCTTCGGCTTTTAACAAGCGTCAAGATGTGTCATTGAAAAAACTAAAGACGGAGGCGAAGAATCTGTGCAAGAAGTTTAATCTTGGTCGTTTGGCGCAGAGCATTGACAACAGCAGGTGCTGTAGTCTGCAGATAATGTTCAGCGTCAAGACTCATAAAGTGGAGCGTCCTCTGAGGGTGATTGTGTCAGAGCATGGAACGTGGCAAAAATCGATCGCTCTTTTCTTGCAAGAGAAGCTAAAGTTGCTTAAGATTGACGATCCGTTTTTGATCAGAAGTTCGGATGAGGTTGTAGATTTTTTAAGGAAAACTCGAACAAAGGCTTCTTAGCTTGCTCTGCAGACGTAAAAGATCTGTATTACTCGCTGCCACATGATAAATTAGTTAAGTGCGTTGAAGATTGCATTGACAACCGCGGGATCTTCGCTTTTCAAAACGAAGCGGGCATGTCGGTAAAAGACTTCCTAGAGCTGCTAGGTTTTTATCTTAACTCAACTTTTGTTGAATGGAATAACTACATTTTTATTCAGAAAAGGGGCGTGTGCATCGGCTCGTGCATAGCTTCCATTTTGAGTGATGTATTTTTAGCGCACTATGACAG